ACACTATAAATAAAACTGCAAAGTGGACTCAGTAGCAGATAATTAAGTAATCATAACTGGACATCTCAAAGGAACTAAATAAAGCAGAATTTCAAAGTTGATCAAAGGACATCTTCTTAGCGGAATATTACAGACACCTACTGTGGGAACATTTATAACACTAAAACACACAACCTGAGGACTTTATATGGACAAATATTACAACACACAATATATACGGATTATCATATACATTCGTGGATTATCATATACATTCGTGGATTATCATAAACATTTGTGGATTATCATCAAACATTTGTGGATTATCATCAAACATTATTGGATACGAACATTATAGGATTACAACAAACATTATTGGATTATTACAAACATTGGAGCATTATTAACGATTATTGAAACGCTTCGTGATCTGGAACATTCTCAAGGATATTTATCGACATCAAGAGACAGGCGTATCATTTCTCTACATCTACGTATCATAAGTATTGACTTTTATATATTATTGTCATCGCATTTAGTTTTCAAAAATATATTACTGTACATTGTTATATTTTAATTGCTGTTTTTACCTTCTGTTATTTTCGAACGTAACACGATCTACTCAAAACAGCTTGTCATTCACGTATACACGCTTAGCAAACACGGCGAAATGACCTGAATCTTGGAATTTCGTTCAAGAGCTAGTAATGTTTGCTCCAGTCTTCGTCATAAGTGTTCATCAGACTTCACGCATGCGCAGGAGAAAAACCATCAACCAATAAGGTTTAAAAACCAATTTTGCGCATGCGCCTTACAACGGTAAACAAATTCGTATTTATAAACGAACCAGTTTGAGATAACCCGATATCAGTCGGAGAAATCTGACGATCTACGAAACTCACTTCAAAAAATCAAATGCGGACTGACGGCGTATTCTTCTATGTTTGGATCTAAGATTTTCAGTATAGATAAAGTCTTTTATGATCTTTCGAATGAGGTAAGTCTCTAGTTTGAAAGACAATCGTATCAACTTGAACAAAAGTTGAGTTTTGACGAAAAATTTTAACATGCGCAGAAGTCCCATTTTCGTTGTACCATATTGACTGTGATGCAAATACTACAACAATTTCTCTCAATTATTTTAGTTTTGCAATGTTATTTCTGCCTATAATTCACATTGTACAAATAGCAATCTTGTTTTGCTTAGAATATTAAAAAAATATGTTTCCTTTTATTTAATTATGCTTTAAATATCTCCATAACACTAAATAAATATTTATACTTTGATGAATGACTGTTTACTTTAAATGCTTACTAAATGCTATCCACATTTTTTTGCAAATGTGTGGTAGAAAATATTTATCAAAATTTGAGACTGGTTCTGAAAAAACTGGTAAAATTAATTGAGTGGCACAACCTGAATCAGAGTACAGATATTATAACTCGATATTACCTCATGGAGAGCACTGGAAAACACAAGGATAGATATCACCAAATACAGGGTGACCGGAAAAAAGGAGACCATTGAAATAGGCAATATCTCCTAAAATAGACTAGTGACATCAATGAAATTTTGCATACATCAGGACAGTTCTATGGAAATTTGTTCCTGAAAGTGTCAATACAAGCAGTCAACTGGTTCAGGAGCTATGATCATTTACATAACATGCTCCAAATAGGCGCAATTGAGACCAACGCAGAGCTGGATACATTTGGCAAATACCCTTACATATTCCGACCTTGTTATGGCATTACATTTAGCATTTATTGCCACCTTTAGGTCAGCAATTGTCTCAGGATTGTTTTGGTACACATTGTCTTTCAAATTGCCCCACAAAAAGAAATCAGGTGGATTCAAATTTGAGGTGTATGGAGACGAAGCTTATCTGACCTATGGCTTCTGACTCAGTGGTCCCACTCAGTTACAGTATCATCCTAAGGAGGTTTTGGGCAGCCCTTGGTTTCCATATGGGATTTAATTGTGCCATATAGTGGTTTTAGTAACATGGCACTATGCCCAATACCTAAAGTGACTCTTAAGATTGGGTAAATCAGCACTTTGGCAACAGGATGATGAACCACATGTCAGATAACCCTTCATTGCCATTACAGCCTAGACTTGAATCCTGCTGATTTCTTTTTGTATGGATATTTGAAAGACAATCTATACCAAAACAATCCTCAGACTATTGTTGACCTAAAGAAGGCAATCACTGCTATATGTAATGCCATAATAATGCCATAGAGGGCAGAACATGTAAGGGTAGTTTGCCATATGAATCCAACTCTGCGTTTGTCTCAATTGTGCCTATTTGGAGCATGTTATGTAAATGATCATAGCTCCTGAACCAGTTGAATGCTTGTATTGAAACCTTCAGTAACAAATTTCCATATAACTGTTCCAGTGTATGCAAAATTTCATTGATGGCACTTGTCTAGTTTAGGAGAAATTGATTACTTCAATGGTCTCCTTTTTTCCGGTCACCCTGTATTATACCTTTTCAGCGATCTCCCCAGCATTAAAGCAAGTGGGCGAGAACACCGCTTTTACCATTTTCCCAAAACCTTCCATTCACCTAACAACTATACGATAAACAAGGGAACTAATAATAAACCAACAATGTCATTCAATAAAGCAAGACTCAAGAATTCAAATTAATGAATATGCTAATAGAAAATTACCAAGTTTCATACAAAGTACTATATTATGATGATCCTATAATATTAGATACGTCTGGTCTGAAGAGCTCTATTTATAAAACTACATGTATATGGTTTCATTAATAATCTCTAGCTAAAATGATATCTATGGTATGTAACATATTGATAAGAGTGAAACCTTTGAAACTGTCATTTTAAGTTGTGTATGATTGGAATAACACCCTTTGCTTCAACTAGGATGACACTCAAGTTGACTTAATCCATGATGGTTAATGCCCCCCCCCCCCCTCGTCAATATTGCCAGTAAGTGGCTTATTTAATAATATTTCTTCATTATTTGACAAAGTCTCCGCCACAGTCAAATCTGCAAAGTGGAACACCTCTAAAAGTAGAACACGTCGGTAATGGAACACTTTTCAGAGGCCCAAGACCAACTGACTTAATGTTAAATGAATCACCTACCAAATGGAACACCAAAGGGGTTCTACTAAGACAGGTTTTACTGCATTTATGTTTATGAAGTTTGATGCAGTCATCTCCTGAAGAAGAAATACAAGATGAGTACAGCTGACAACCCTCAAATCAAACCATGACCAATATGCTGTCTTCCCAAAAACAGTTACGACAAATGTTCTAAACTACCATGAATGAACAAAGACTAGCAACTGCTATATCAACGTACCATATTTGAATTCTTGTAGTAGTTCCATAACACTTCTCAAAACCATTTATGAACTATTTGATTCTCTCATATTCCCTCAAAAATCTAAATCTTAAGACTATATTGGTACTTACTTATTCCGCAATACTCCACTTCTAAAATACTGTATGTCTCTGAACTCTGAACATTTAAAACTGTGCAAATGTGTAATATATAAGAAGTATGTATTGGTTCATCAAATTATATGCATGTAATGTATATAACATACCTGTATCACGAATAAGCTCTTCTTATTGCATCAATTCTAATACTTGACGATTAGTAAATAATTAACTCACCTACTGAATTGCCTACTTTACTAAATGATATGGAATTCTGCCCTTCAAATATAACTAAAACACGTGTATATTACTGTAAGTCATTTTTTCTATAAATAATTAATGAACAGCCTTATTTTCTTTCATTTCTATAAAATTCAGAGTATTGTCAACAAGCATGATGTCTTCTTCCCCTACTGTCATACAATTTTGCATTTTATTTCACAAAATCACCTTGATATCTATTCTTCTGGCTTGTTTTACCTGATAGTTCCTCCTTACCTGTAGAAGTTGAATGTGGATGATCTATATTACATTGAGCATAAAAACTGGAAAACAGATCAATAATTTGCCTTATCTCTATTCCCTCATAACAACAACGGTTGTCAATAATCCCTGCCTGCAGATGAAAAGTCACAAAGCCGTGTTTTGAAAAGAAGAATAAGGTGAAAAAGAGGGGAATAAACAAGGAATGGAATATACAGGGATTACGAGGAAAGTCAGAATTGTATGGAATATAAGAAAATCAGTCTGTTCTTCAAATGTTTAGAGAGAACTAGGAGGAAATAAGCATCTCAGTGAGATTTTAGGCACAGACAGTCATATATCACTGGATTAATACCTGGTGATCTATTGACTATTTATTTGTCATTTCTCTTCTAGATGTTTATGATCTAATCATGTATAATACTGCAATTTTCTGATAAGTTCAGAAAATATATCTTGATCTGTTAGTTCAAGTCTGATATGTAATAAATTCGTTAAATGCAAAATATAGTAAAGATCCATGTTAGTGAACAATTTCTGTACTGTATCAAACACTTGTGGCTTACTCTATCTAAAGATGCAACAAAAACTAGACAATCTCTCTCAGGCCTATGAAAATAGGGGATACATAGGGTCTTGGTGAAAAAGTAGTAAAACTAGTACATACTGAATACATAAAACGAAGTATGCAAATCAATATTCTTACATTTCAACATTCTACAAATACATGTAGTAAAGTTATGAACATCTTGCCAACGTTGTTTGCCAAAAATAACCAAAATCATTTTCTCAGTTACAAAGCCTTTCATAAGTGTTTGATTTCTAGCCAATAAGCTTTATAAAGCTGATTTCATTTATATCTAAATAAATCTTTTCAGATTTAATGCCACTACTATTTGTCTATAAGGCTCTTTATACATGTTTTTAAGTTTCCCTATGTGTTTTATGATTATTTACCATACTGCGTGAATCAGACATTTGCTCATAGATGACATCATATTGATCACTTCCTTCATCTAAAATTCATCAAGGTATCTCATAAATAACTGAGATAAGTCAACATAAACTTTCCAAAATTTCTATAATCATCTACAAAAACATAATCTTTACCTTACCTTAATTGCTACCTTTTGCCTGCATCAGGAAAAATAACCAACACAACATCCTCTATAAATAATCAAATCAGTATCTAATGAGAATTTTCCGAGCTAAATGATAGCCCAGTAGCTAGGTAAGTAAAGGTGTACAGAGTTATATTCCCAGGTGAATTAAAGTACTGATGATTCACATATGTGTTTTACTCTTTATAGTTTATATTGATTTGTGTAATAATGTCAGCCAGGTTTATTGAATTTTTAGATTTTTACATCCTGCTTGAGCACTTGTAAATCTAATATTGTATTGCCAAATATGTATTTTGTTCAAAATAGAAGTCTTTCATCTGTATCAGGTCAAAATCTAGTCTTATTGTTATTTTGGTGGCTTTTATGTCAGAACCCCCCATGCCTACACACTACATATAGTATAACCAAATGAGTGCCATTATAGCAATGACCAACACTACACTGTACTTATATATTATAAAATTATTCTTTGATTGTTTTACTCACCTAATATATAGGACATGATACAAGTACAGTCAAAATGAAGTCTAGTCCTGCCCTAGTCCTGCTATACACAGATGTAGCATATCATACTTGGTGTCATTTTGAGACTACTTGTGCCTCAAGTAAGAATGATTTCGACTTTAAATGTTAAGTATACCACAACCTGGTACATGTAATTTTTACACCTGGAGATACTATGTTATCTTAAGATATTATTTTTATCAGAAATATAGTCTTGCTAGGAGGTGGTTCAGTTCTTTATGCAATATGACATCTGGTAACATTAAAACCAATGAGCCTTGATAAAATGTCTTTTAAGGCGACGCTATATTAAATAAAAAGTACAAAAAATGACTGCCATATTTTTTTGATAAAGACACATGTTTTTAAAATCTGTTTACCTTGTATATGAATTGTGTATCTTGACTAATGAAACATGTCAAAGTTAGCATCACACATAAACGCATTTTTCCAAACTATGAATTGGAGGTGCATGGATCCCCAAAGCTAGCATGAAGAGTGCGAAGTGAGGCTAATTTTTGAAAGTTTCAAGGAGTAGCCTTGCAACAGTCACACATTTGTAAGAGTCTAAAATTTCCACAAATCATCTTACCTTTCCCAGGAACAACGAAGGAGCATGAAAATGTGCACTTCTTGCATTGTTAGAGTATAATAAACCTCAAACCATTGTAAATTCCAAATATTTCATGTCCACATTTTGTTTGCCGGAACTACTTCTAGACTTCCTGATTAATCCTCATGCAAGTTTTGTGACTACACCAAGTGGCATGGATTATCACTTGTATGTTTTATCTATTACAGTGTAATTATCATGATAGAGGCTTTATGAATGATAAACAATGGAAACATGAATGAAGATAACTCTGGACTAAAAAATAGTTCCAGGAAACAAAATGGTGGACATGAAATATTTAGAATTCACAATGGTTTGAGCTTTATTATAGTCTAACAATGCAAGAAGTACACATTTTCGTGCTCCTTCGTTGTTCCTTGGTAAGGTAAGATGATTTGTGGAAATTTTAGACTCTTGCAAATGTGTGACTGTTGCAAGGCTACTCCTTGAAACTTTCAAAAAGTAGCCTCACTTCGCACTCTTCATGCTAGCTTTGGGGATCCATGCACCTCCAATTCATAGTTTGGAAAAATGCGTTTATGTGTGATGTTAACTTTGACATGTTTCATTAGTCAAGATACACAATTCATATACAAGGTAAACAGATTTTAAAAACATGTGTCTTTATCAAAAAATATGGCAGTCATTTTTTGTACTTATTATTTAATATAGCGTCGCCTTAAAAAAAAATTAGTGATGGATAGGGGTCAAACACAAGTTACCAAATATATTTTCATATATTCATTTTCCAGATTATAGCAGTGGTTGGAAGTCATTGATAATCAACAAAGCTCTTGCTTAAATACACAGATGTAGGTCAAGGTCATCAGTAAGGTCAATCATGAAATTTCTTTTTTATTATGATTTGAATCTATGAAGGTAGAAAGTTCATCATTATCATGTCATACAAGGTCAATAAGATGTACGAATATGTACAGAAATTCATCAGATTCCCCAGAAATCTTGTTGAGATAATTATAGTAATTAAACAATTATTTAATTTGTGCCACCATCATTAATTACATACTCTAACTTGTATAATAATGTAAGATTTAATAGAGTCAGTTTATTCTATCAATCAAAGATACAATAACAAGTGTTCTTTGTTATCTGTATAACAGAATAACAGGAAATGCAAAATCTAATTTACCATGAACACGATTAATTAAAGTTTCTACTTAAAAACCATTCCTTTCTGACATTAGACATGTTATGATTTTTGTTAAAGTACAGAGCATACTCCCTAATTATTGCAACATTTTTTATCAATATTCTTCAATCAAGGTATGGTATCAATTGTTAGCTACAGATTACAGAACTGAGTGTTATGCAATTCAATGCTTACCTGTGTAATACCTGTTTGTTTCCTACACTAAGATATAAAAGGTGTTAACCCAAGATACTTACCTATCATTCCTAGCCTTACCTGGAGCTCCCAAATGTAAACTCTCACAGAGAAAATTCTACCCAACTCCTAATACTAACACATGTGTTGTAAGTATATATGCAAGGTCATTATGCTCTAAAAACAGTTGTTTTTCAAAAAATCAGCAATTTCCAATTATTAAATATCACAAGATCGATTTTGTGTCTGTCCATATAGAATAATATATCGAAGGTATTTAATAAGAGAATCACCGTTATTACCTGAACATCAATTGCAATTTACAGGTGTTGCAACCACAGGGTCAAATGAGATCCCAATATGAGCATCCCCATTACTACCCTGAACTCAAAGGAAAACTAACAACTCTCTGACTAAGACTGTGTATTTTACAGTGTGGGATTCAACTAATCAGAAAGCATACTTGGCCATTCTGAATGCCTTGCAAGTTAGAAGTTTACTAAATGCAATAGTGTGTTTCCACTTCTAAAATATTATAGCTCTATTAACAGCTGTGTTTAAAACTGGCCTCTGTATTCGTGGATAACTGATAGTATAAAGAGTGAGACAAAGATGATCCCACTTATAAAGGGTACCCTTTTACTGTACTGGAGATAGGATGAGACCGAAGTGCTTTAAACATTTGGTAAGGATCCAAAATAGGTGTGAAAGCCCTGAGGTTTTTTAGTAATGTGTTGTTCATTAGAACCATTATAGAAAACACTAATACCATGAGGTCAGTTTTCAAGAGAACTGAGGGTGAGCAATTACTGAATTACTGAAGTATATTTTGAAATGTTTTTTCTAGTGTTGGATCAACTACAGGTGCTGTAACAACTAAGCAATTTGAAAATTCCATTCTATCTATTTAAAACTAAGTTTTTACCTATTTGTGATTTTGATTACTCGTGGCTGATTATGATATGAATTTATTCAGATGATTCTTGTCAAAATTGGTGAATATATTTAAAAGAATAAGTCTGTAAACTCGCCAAATGAATGATAACCATTGTGGTAGTAGATTCTGGAGTATATTCCCTTATCACCCATCCAACAATTGGACTGACCATGTTAAAATAAATGCACATTAAAAAGATTCATTATACATCAGTACGGCCATGGTTGATGACCAAACCAGACAATTCAATTAATTTCATTTGATATCTCAAGATTCCAATGTCCAGTTTTGATTAATAACTTTCAAGATGGTTGTATTTAAGATAAAGATGGGTGCCAAGATAAAGGTGACCATACATAGATTGATACCATATCTGAAGCAGAGGGGTCAATAGACCATGAACTGAACTACTGACTCTACTTAATAACAGAAATCGCATATGTATCTTAGAGAAACAACTCTGTATGTGTAGAACTGGTGAATAAGTCAAGCATGTCAGCATGAGAAGTCAAACACCTCCTTATGACAAGCCAACCATCTCTATATTGCAAGTCAAACCACAAGGTTTATAAGTGCAACCCAATAGTATATGAACACCCATATAATCACGGGGTACCATCGAATAATTTTGGCAACGTACCGGAGAACGACATTTTACTAAGAAATGGCAATAATTTAGCACAATATATTTTTTAACTAGAGTTCTCCTTTGATTTTGACAAAAGTAAGTATTCCATGCAATGGCTATTTCATTCATGAGTTTGTAGGAATTCTGTTGGAACCCAGTTCTGATCAAGTACGAAGTTATTGAAATCGGCGCAGACGAACTTTACTCCGAAAGATGGTTTTTCGATTATAACTTTTTACAACATTTAAGTATAGAATTTTGAAAAAAGTACAGAATAGTCCTTATACTATTGAATAATTCTGTTATTTCTGATTCACACGACTCTGATTTGTTTAATTAAAAAAAAAGTTTTTAAAATATTACTTAGGAACGTAACCGGAGCAGATCAGTTGAATTATATAATTTAAAAAAATAAAATATATGATTTAAAGCATATATATTAATAAATACGCATTCGAACAATCCCGTATGTTTTTAAATTAGTATATGTGCTTTAAATCATATATTTTAATTTTTTTGATTAAATAATTCAACTGATCTGCTCCGGTTACGTTCCCAGCTCCGGTTACGTTCCTAAGTAATATTTTAAAAACTTTTTTTTAATTAAACAAATCAGAGTCGTGTGAATCAGAAATAACAGAATTATTCAAAAGTATAAGGACTATTCTGTACTTTTTTCAAAAGTCTATACTTAAATGTTGTGAAAAGTTATAATCGAAAAACCATCTTTCGGAGTAAAGTCCGTCTGCGCCGATTTCAATAACTTCGTACTTGATCAGAACTGGGTTCCAACAGAATTCCTACAAACTCATGAATGAAATAGTTATTGCATGGAATACTTACTTTTGTCAAAATCAAAATAGAACTCTAGTTAAAAAATATATTGTGCTAAATTATTGCCATTTCTTAGTAAAATGTCGTTCTCCGGTACGTTGCCAAAATTATTCGATGGTACCCCGTGATAATAATAAAAAAATAAAGCAACTTATTATATTTCTAAGGTATGAACAACTTCATTTCCAATTCCAATGTTGCAGGAGGTGGGAACGACAGAAGCCTTGTAAATCAGGATGAGGTGTTAGGTTTTCATATAAAATATGAGAAGCAAGAGTGGTCAAATATCTTCAGTCAATTTACAAATTACTTCCCCATACAAGTGCATGTTGGAGTGACCCAAGTTTTATTGTGGCTTGCTCAACATGAATTGATGACAGATGATTACTACAAATGATCTGGTTAAAAGAATACCAGGCTATCTCAGTTCCATCTATTTATTTACCTTTGTAATTACATTGAGATAATATCACTTTCAAAACTTAATTTTTATCACTTTGATTTTTTCTCAATGTTTAGAGATACAGAAGCCTGAATGGTAACAGACTAATA